AGACAAAGCTGATCTCCTGTGGTTGCATCAGCTGTTACCAAGAGGTCTGAAGCCCCATGAGCACCACACCACTACTAAATATAGTGCTTTTGCTTCTCACCTTTGCAGTTGAGCTCTGGTGTGTTGATGACTCCATTGATGGCAGCCTGGGCAGCAGCATTTTGCTTCTTCAGTAGTTCAATTGTCTTCCTTAACTCGTTCAGTTCTGAGTCCTTGAATAAGAGAAAAAAAAAAAGGTAAAAAAAAAAGGTGATTCATTGAAAAATATAATTATATCTTTGCACCAAAGAGACACATTTCAATCTGAGTGTTGATAGTTGGTAGAGAATGTATGGAATATATATGTACCAGGAGATGAAGATGAGGTCTGGTACACCTAAGGAAGCCCACCTCTAGCAGGCTGCAAAACAGCACATACTAAAAAAAATGTAGATGCTCTGCAATACAGAAATCATGTATGTCCAAGTATACTGTCCAAAAACCTAGTATTTCCTTTCTTGCACAGGTTTTCGTGGTGTTTTTCTTGAACATGCACATGTGTGGATGCATTTGGCAGAAATTTATAACCCAAATATGCAGTTCTCAATACTAGTGTCCAATGCAACAATTTGTAAGAAAATCTGATCAGTCACCACAACGTTCCAGTGAGGAAAACAAGTATTTTACACAAATCTTCATTACATTTTACTCCATCGCCACAACTGAGGAAACAGTGTCTGTGTTTGTTTGGTTTTTTTTTCCATCACAACTACAGAAGGAGGACGAGCAACAATGCTGGAAACAGCAGTTAAGACTTCCCCAGATAGTTTTCAAGCTTGCCTTTTGTTCTGCTGTCATGGTCAGGCTCTGCAGTCTGATTGTCATGTTCCCCAGGCTCTGCTCAAATGCTGCCACCAGGTGAGCCTGAAAGTTAAACCATATAGAAATAGTTGGTTCTTTCCCCCAACCCAAACAAGAATATTTCTGCAGGTATTTCAGTGGGCCACCTCCTGCAGTGCATATTTTGTGGTGTAAATGATAGGGAGAAAATAACATGGTTTGGAAAAGGTCAAACGAGTAGAGCACACGTTGTGAAAACAAATTCTCAAGAACCATTTAACTGGGGGGAACTGGAAATGCCAAAGGTAAAGGACCAATTTTGGAATTTTAGAAGATGACAGCCCTTCTGTGTACCACCACTGCCAGTAGCACATAAGGAAAGGAGGCAGTTTTAGGCTACCAACCATGCCCTGCTTGGCTTCAGAGAACACAGACGTAGGATAACGCTGTGACCTGGCACATCGGTAGGACATCTCCTGGAGGTGGCTTCTCAGTTGGCTGCTACATCCACCTCTTTGATACCATGATTTCAATAGCCAGGCCAATTATCTCAGGCACACTCTAACAGAACAGCAAAGCAGGATTTTTTTGCAGTTTGGAATTCTCTTGCATTCCGTAAAATGTGTCCAGAATACATCAAGAAAGAAATCACCTCCTGGGTCCTTAGGAGTTAAGGTCCTTTGAACAACCACATCCCAAATTAATCCAGTTCCTGTACTTTTCTAAAATGTTCAAAGCTGCTTGGATTTTGTGATTAAATGGAAAACACATTCTGGCACTTTGTTGAAATAGAAAGACGTGGGGGTTTTTTCTGAAACATCTCACAGATTAAGTAACTGAGGCTCTTAAATGACACTTTAGGGAATACACGTGGCCACCTGAAAGTATTCCTGATACCAAAAAGGCATGGAAGGATGACCTTGGTCATCTAGCCATATCCCCAAGCTACTACAAGCAATGACATGAAAAGATCTCCTATCACAAAATATAAAGAGGAGAAAGAGACAAATCCATCTGTATTTCTAAATATCTCCTGTTGTTCATTTTTTGAAACCAGACTTAATCTTTGACTTTTTATGTGGGCCATTATCAGCACAGTTAAGGCTACTCAGTGATAGTTTTCAGGTACCCTGACACAGTTCAGGTAACTCTTGCCACAAAGCTTTTGAGCTGATGTATCTACACCTAACTCAAAGACTTCTCCAATACTTGAACACACATTGCCTGCAACCAAGATCCCTCTGCTAAACATCATCCCAAACCTCCTGGTGATTGGCCAATGACCTTTTTTTTTTCATTTTCCATGAAAAAAAAAAACAACAAACCCAATGTTGATTATATTAAGAACATCAGTAAAGAGCCAAAAATTAAAAGTAAAAGGAAGAAAAAGCAGATTGAGAAGACAGAAAGGAACTTCATAAAAGGGAACTATATTTCTAGTGCCATGATATGGCACTGGTTTAGAGATACACATGTATATATATTTTTTTCTCATTAGTCATAGTAATCTACACTAACCATAGCAAGTACTATTTTATTTCTCTATTAAAAATGATTTTTATGCACACAACAACTAAAATGGTGCCAAATCTTACCAAGGGGAAAAGGACATTCTCTCACCTAAAGATATACAGGATAGAAAATCCTTTCAGAGAGCTATTGCAGACTTATTCAACAGCAGCACACAGCTGACTTATCCTAAATAACTGTTCTCACATTCACAATGAAAACAAACATGATCAGTACAATAACAGGGGGATGTGCATCTCTCATTCCCACCAGCCCCTATGAAAATAAGCAGAGCTGAGACTGCAAGAAAACAGCACAAAGTAATTTAAACCCTCACTCTACACATGTATGAAAACCTAAATATTTGTTTTAAAAACACAGACTGCAAAGCTTCTGTTGGGGAAGATGAACACAGAATAACAAAACTGATATTCAGGAATCCTCAGCAATACCCTGTAAAGGCAAAAAATAAACAGGCAAGTGGGACTGTGTGGATTCATAGTGGGACACAAACCCTTAATGCTTTCATCTGAACCTTCAGAAAAAGTCGCTTTCCAAACCAGATCAGGCACCTTGAAATTATTCCTATTGGGAAATTGTTCAGTGAGCTATAGAAACCAGTTAACTTTACTTCCTAGCTGGAGTGAAACCTTTTCAAATTCTTGCCCCTGATAGCCTGAGCAGCATCAAAAGCTACTGTGTCTCTACATGAAAAAAAATAATAAATTAAATCAAGATAATAATTTAAATTGCCTAACCTAAAGCATTCTATTAAGGAAATGTCCATAAAGCAGTGTCTTAACAAAAAGTCTTAACTTTTTTGGGAACAGACCTAGCCTTTTACATGGAAAATGAGTAGGTACTCTGAAAATAAGTGACTAGGGACAAATATATTAGTAAGACAGCTACAGCAACATCTCTGCAGCAGACTGTTGTTGATTTATGAACAAATGAGGGGCACGTCCAAGTCTAAGAAGTTTAAATATCATCAATAAAAAGCTACAACATTTTAGCACAGTGAGTGATGCAAATATAGAGTATTATCAACGTAACAAATTATGCTAAGTTTTTGGGGGCAATACTCCTTTCTAATCAAACAAAAGTGTACAGCAGCAGCAGCATGTGTTAAAAAACATTTTCTGCAAAGACAGTGGGAGTAACCATGCACAAATTCTTGGGGAAATGAACAGCAACTGGGGCAGGCACATAGCAGCATGTGCTATTCACTTCTCCTGTGGACAGGCTACTAATTCCTGTGCTGAGTAAGAGCTTACTGAACCGAATTGTTCCACAGTAGATTCCCCCTCGAATCCTAAGTTTTGTGTTCCACCTATTCAGAGAGCTGATGGACAGGAATGTCCTCTTCAGTAGCATGTGGCCTGATGTTTATTCATTCCCACAAACGAGGATGTCAATATGGTCTAGTTTGATGTCTATTCATCTGTGGCTTATTTACTCTAGAACTGCTTATTTTTCTAGCAAGCTTCTGTTTTGCAGATGCACAGAACTCACAAATAAACTTGCTCAGGTACATACACAGCATTGCCTCAACCCCACCTGGCTTTCAACTATTATTTTTTTCCAAGTGTCTTACATTACTTATTCATAAAGCTCCTTAGAGAAAACAATGCTGTCTGCATTGGTTAAAAATCAGGAATGTCCACTCTTTAAGTATAACTTTAAATTAGTTCTCAGAGCCCCTTTTACCACCATCATGCCATTAGCCCACATATTAATGCAACAGCAAAATATAATAGGCTTCAATCCATGTCTCTACCAATTTTTATTCCTGCCAATAATTACTTTCATCTGTACCCCAGTCCACCCAAATGTCCAAGCAAGACACTATTTATAAAAAAACACCCCATCCTTGAATATTCTGTCAAGATTCGAAGATTATTTGCATATATCTAAAGCAAAATCAATATTACAATTTATTATTGAAAGAAAGGCATAAGACAATTCAGTAGGACAGAGGATGTTAATTTTGGAAAAGTCCCACATGCATGCAGTTGCTTTTTTAAACACATAGGTAACATGAACCAAGTATTAAACACATGATATCTTTTTGTCACTTAAAAAAATTGGGGTAGCAGTTGATGCATTAAATGCATTCCCTGTTAGTGTTCTCAGAGTTGTACTCACATTGGCAGTCAACTGAGTTGTCAGAGCTGATACTTTTTCTTGGGATGCATCCAACTCTCTTCGTAGCTTGCGAATCTATATATTTTAAGAGAGCACTTTACTGCACCATAATATGGAGAAAGAAAACAGCAAGACACAAAATGCAGAGTGTCCTGATAGCACATTTATGCCTGTCAAATGTGATGTGTCCTTACCTCTGACTGGCACTTCTCTTCAGGCTATAAAGTAAAAACAGAAGAAAATACATGAGGATATTATAACCAGCCTGAGAAACAGATAACATTTTTCTGGTCTTTTTTTTTTTTTTGTGTGTGTGTGTTTGAAAAGTTCTAATGTGAATTCCATATTTTGGATTCCCACCTCCATATTCAGTCCAAGATAATATCCTAATTTACTTTCAGGAAAAAGAAAATAGGCTGCCAGCCTGCCAACCATTGCCCCTCAGAGTCTGATCCATGGAAGGGTGATGCCCTGGCTCCATGCATAAGGGGCAGCCCAAGGCTCAGAGGGGCAGCAATTCCCTTCTTCCCATGCTCAGCTTTCCATGGGATAGAGAGCAGGTTTTGCATTCCAAAGCGATGTGGAAATAAATAAATAAATGAATGAATTCCTTCCACTTAGGTGCTTCCTGGGGACTGTGGTGATGAAAAACTGAGGAGACACAACTAGTTATCTGAGGACGCAAAGTGGATGTGCTGACCATCCGCTGTGGTCTGCGTGATAAAACTGTGGCTACTAGGGCTTGTTTCTAACCAAAGTTATCAGCTGAGGAGAAGTATATGGTGGGAAATGACACACTCCACCACCCTTATGTAAACATGCCCACTACCAGCCTCCATGAAAATTATACCCATAAACCACACTATTAAGAGCCACTGGTGCTTGGGCAGCAAGCACATCAACCAGAGCTCAGGTGGCAGCTGCTGAGTGCTCTTCTTGGGGCTCCCAGGGTTATAAACAACAGCCCAGAGAAAATGGTTTGTTTTTCATCTTTCCAAAGCATTATCTGCTTTGGCTTCATAACAAAGAAACATGCATGTGAAATAATGCTAAATAACACTAGGCTGCCCCAGCAGACTTCAGAGACCATCACACATGATCTTCCAAGAGCAAATTCTTCCACATACTCTTGTACCACATATGTTTCAGCTGTGGATGTGTGGTGAGTGTGAAGATGCATCACACTTGAATTTCAAATTGAAGATGCTGTTCAATTAACATATATTTCAGAAGTAATTGTGATTGTTATTCACTGTTTTTTAGAAGGGTTGTGTTTAACGGGGGCCTACAAAGATGGGGACACATTTTTTAGCAGGGCCTGTAGCCACAGGGCAAGGGGTAATAGTTTTAAACAAAAGAGGGTACATTTAGAATAGATATAAGGAAGACATTTTTTACAATAGAGTGGTGAAACACAGACATGGGTTACCCAGAGAGGTGGTAGATGACCCATCCCTGGAAACATTCAAGGTCAGGTTGGATGGGGCTATGAGCAAACTGACCTAGTTGGAGATGCTCCCGCTCACTGCAGGGGGTGAGAAGAGATGACCTCCAAAGGTCCTTTCCAACCCAATCCATACTATGTTTCAATGATTTTTAAGAACCCCCCAAACCCGTGCTCCTGGCATGCCAGGAACACATCAGGCACCTTTGGTTGGGCTGGCTTGGATATCAGCAGCAGTGAAGCCACTGGGAATTGACCATCAGTGCCAAATGCTTCTGCACAGCCTTGTGTGGGCTGGAACCTGCTGTGCCCCTGGGTCACTGCAGATAACACTCCAACTAGCTAGAGAAAAGCCTGTCAAACCAGGGGCTGGGAGCTGCAGTCTCACCTCCCCATCACAGCACAGATGTAGCCTGAACTTGGAAGGTCTTCCATAGTACATGTTTACATGGAAAACCCTTGGTGAGACTATCGGAAGAAAATAATGCAACACACATTTAAAAACCCCTCTATTTTCAAACTCCAGTAAGCCTTATTTTAGGATCAGAGAACTTAAATAAAGACATACTTTCAGAGAAAATATTACTGGCATAGTGAACAAATAGCTTCTTTGGAATTATTGAAACCTGTGCATAAAGAAACTTACACTTCTTTAGTAGCAAATCATTAAGGCTGGAACGACTTTAAACAGCAATTAGGTAATGAAGTTCAAATCTCCTCAGATCTGCTGAGCTCCTTTGTAGCAAAACTTATTCAGTGCAGTTGTAAAACACTGACTCAAAAATAAATTGCTGCTTTTAGGTCATTAACACCTGTGTTTAATGACAAAACTGCTAAATATCCACAGTCTCCTTTGTGAATATAAACTTTCCTTTATAGCTGGCATTCAGAACACAATCAAAAAGAGGGTTTTTTTTCTTTCCTCCTCCCTGAACAGCAAAAAAAAATTAGCACAATAGGACCAGTCAATTCAATAATTTTGATTAGTAAGCCCAAATAGTTCATTTCATTATACTCACTGTTGAATAAATAGATGATGTACTGGATACCAAAGAGAGAGAAGAACCATGCACTAAAGAAAAGAAAATAAACACAATGACTATAAATATAACAACCACACAGTGGAATCATCACAGACCATCCATGGCCAATGACCAGTCTGCTGAATAAATACTTTCACAAATTTCATCACCCATCATAAACTTAATGAAGTTATTGTGCCATTAATGTACAGTTTGAAGAATGCATGGCCTGGTAATACGATCCATGAACTTTGGTTTGGTAAAGTTGTTTTACTTATTTATTTATTTAAAATTAGGTGTGGTCAGTAAGATTAAAAAGCTTTGTTGAATATTTATTGGGAAATAACTATTTCTTTGGAAAGCTTATCTTAAGACTCCTGCATAAGGGCTTACTCAGGAGAAAAAAAAAACCACAACAAATTAACTGAAATGTAGAAGAGATAACAAAAGTAAATCTAAGTATTTAATCTGCAGTTTTAGATTCAGAGGGTAGGTTGTTTTCTTTAAGCAGAAGACCAAGATGGAGATGTCCTGGGAAGACCACGCTACCCAGCTCCAGTATGAAACCAGATCCTCCAGGAGATGATGTGGAGCACCCAGAGCAGAAGCAGTGTCTAATTTTGGGACTCAGAATTGCCCTCTGAACTCAGCTGTATCTTCCTTCTGCTGACTGCAAGGGAGCATTGATGAGCTTAACATTCCCTACCCCTGCAGGGTTTTTTGGTCTTTCTTTAAAGCAATTACATTTTTTTTAACAAGGCAAAGTTGGTTTTCTCACAGAAAATCACCTGAGCGAAAACATGGCTACAAAACCTTTTCTGGAAAAAGAATCCGCTTCAAGCAGTTTTTACATTTCAATATATATTCAGTAAAAGACACACATATAGATTGATTCTCAAAGTTGTTACCATCACCTCTGTTAGGATTTACATATAACAATTTAATTTCTGATTATGCTATTAAAAAAACCTACCTGAAGCTATTCTTTCTGCTACTGAAACATAATTACCTTTCCTTTCTTTTTATTTTTAGAAACAAAATCCATCTAACTGAAACTTCCCATGCAAACTTCAGCTAACTTCTTACAAATCATATGAAATCTTGTTAAATCACTTTTTCTTTCATCTAAATCTTTCAGAAAGACAAAAAAAAAAAAGTTTAGAAAAGCTGCCATTTTGCTCTAATTACCTACTGCAATTCTCTTACATTCATAATAAATGGGCTCTGCTTTCCCATTGACATTATATCCTAAGGCAAGGCTGGAAAGAAAAGTAAACAAAGTCTAAGTTGGCTTCTGGAGGAATTTAAGACAATTTAAAAAACCCACACGAAAGCAAAAAACCCCTCACACCCATTTGCTTTTTCTGGTTAATCATATTTTCAATTAAAATGATCTTCAGAGTTAGATGCTAAGGACTGCACTGTATTAAGAACATAAAAATAATGAGTGTGAGTCAGAGCCAGGGTCTGTCTAATCATGTGCTCCATCTCTGGCTGCCACCACAGTGCATGTTTAGGGAAAAGACTGCAAGAAGGAGGCAGGCACCCAGTGATTTTTTTTTCCCCAGATACATCTTTGCATCTTCTGGGAATCAGCAGAGGTGGAAATTCCTCAGATGGGAACTACAGTCAGACCTTTTTTTTTCACAGTTGCTGTGACCTCTCTACCATTAATTTGCTTAACTGCTTCCAAGTCCACTAACACATTTTGTTTGTAACAAAAAACTCCACCTTTGTTTAGAAATAGAATTCTTTGCAGCTCTTTTAGATCTACTGCTGAATCAGTAAGTTTCCTGAGTGTCTCCCCAGTCCTGTAATATGAGAAGTAATGGACAACCAACCTATTCATAATGGACTACACAATGGATTATCACCTCCCTTCAGACATCATTTTTCCAAACTGAAGATTCCTAATCTGTTTCAACTCTCTTCATATCATAGATGCTATGCATTCAAGATCTCCTGGTCACCTTTCTTTTCACCTGCATTTTACCTTCAGACAGCCCTCTTCCAGATGGAAAGCCCCAAGGACAGGCAATATTGCACAAGGCCACAAGTGGACTCATACAGATACTACAATTTTATTTTCTGCTTTGCCTCTCTGTTTTCTTACTTTGTGAAGTGTTTACTAACTGAGGTGCATTCCAAAAAATCAACCATGCCAACTGGCCAGAGAAGAAACAGATTCCCTTGCAGTGACTTGGGACACACACATTTTGGAGTTATCAACTGGAATGATAAAGATCACGATGGGACTTTAAAGGGGGAAGGAAGACTCAGATTTAACAAAGTAAAAGAACATATAACTCTGGGAATCATATTCCTGCCTTGTAAAACGTCACATTTAATCATGTTTGAATGTGCAGATAGTTTGAGATTTCTAGTTTGAAGGACAGCTAAGGAGTTAATATTTTTGCGCAATTTCGTTCCAAGGTATCTGCAGATGGCTACTTTAAGGCCACTTAATGAAGAGCCTGAAGGCAGTTATGCTCTTGATGTGATTCCTGTTTTCTGCAGTTAACATGCATCTGCACGCAGGCTACAAACCCAAATTGTTTTGGAGCTATTACTTTAAAGCACTATAAATGCAGATGTAAGCATGTATCATTTTAAATGTCAGACAAGAAATGGTCTAGGTGTGATCAACTGCCCCAAGAGTAGAAAGAACAACAGGTATTGAAGTCAGTAGCACAAAAAGAACACAAATGTATACCCCAAGGACAATGACTAATTCCTTTCTCTCTAGGAGGCAGAAACGTCAGGGTGGAGCCAGAGGCAGCTCAGCTCCTGGGGAAGACTGATGGCCAGGGCAGCAGGGAAAGTTCCTATAATATTTCTATAATACTTTTTGATCTGTTCTGTCAAGGTGAAGGTGAACTTGATCCACAGGTTTGAAAGCACAAGACAACACATATGCCATATTCAGAACCACTTGCTTCCTTATAACTTGTGATCCCTGAGAAATAAGCAGGAGCTAAGAAGCAGGCTGGGCCTGCCTTCTGTACAGCCACAGAAGTGACAGACCTGTAACCTGAAGACAAAATCGTGGACAGTGCACCTAGGCATTCATCCCTTCTGGTAAAATATTAATTATCCTTTTAGGTGGCAAAAATTTAGGAAAATCTGAAAGGGATTTCTGCAGCATGTCAACTGAAGAGGTCAAATTCCTTCTTGAGACACAGAAGTAACCTTTTTCCACTGCTTTCAAGTACATAACTGAGCCTCTATGTAGGTTCTGCATAACCTCAGTAGAGGTTTCTTGGACTTTTTAATGCTTTCTTAAAGTAAGTGAAAAGCACTTAGGAAACATTTCATGTAACTCTTCCTTTTTCCTTTTCTTTAAATGGTTCATCCTCTAACATTTAATACTTATTAAATATCCTTCCAAACAAGCCTCTCTCCTGGACAAGAATTTCTAAACTAGTTTAACCTTTAACATGCAAAAATGGACTTGCACACTTAAAAGACCTATGGCTGCAATTTTTTGAGGATACCTTCAATAGAACCTGAACAAGTTTTTCTGTAGTGGCTCTTTCAGCAACTCATCTACATATAACACAGATGCAGTGACTTAAATTCCTTCACATATTATATTAAGAAACTCTTTAGCAAGAGCAGGAGTATTCATCACAGAATGGGATTCCACTGACTAAGCAATGGCAATCTTTGACTGCTCATGATCACCTAGCTGTCTGAGAGAATGGCACGAACAGAAAAGCTAATTCCTGCAGTGACACAGTTTTAAGCCCTACAGCCTTATTCTAATAATTTTCAACTCCTAAAGAAGATCCTGAGCCACAAGCCTCTAAAATACAATTAAATGTACTGGAGTCAGATTGGCTAAATTCAATAATGAATGTTCTGAATCTTCCCAGAGCAACAGCCACTGTGCATTCTGTACCTCTTCCAATTGCAGAAAACTGGTAAAATAAGCAGCATCTCCAGGAGGGCATCTTTTGTCTCTTAAAGATCCCTGCAGGCACTTAAGTTTGAGTCCTCACAGGCCCAGCTCTAGCAGAACAGCCACAACAGGGCACTGATATTAACTGCTGGGTAAGTGTAGGTCCTCATCAGTGGAGGAAGCAAACCAGCAAGGGCTTGTGTGACCTGCACTTCATAGCCAAAAAGCTCCTAATCCTTGCCAGAAAGGAGATTTAAGACTCAGGGAGCTAATGCTGAAAGAGCTTCCTATGACCTTCCTATGAACCACGGCCAGAGCTCACCCCACACTTGACTTCTCAAAGTGCAACACTTGAGGGTTTTAAGGTGTGCTCATAGCTACACCTGCTGCAGACACATGGTCCCTTCAGCAGCAGCAACCAAAACATTTATTTATTTATAAGTAAATGACTTTTTCTTCTGATATTTACATGTGCTTCTTCAGGTATGATTATGTGTTTGAAAAGGCAACAAGGAATTAAAAAGAAGAGCCTAGATGTTTTGAAGAATTACCCAGGTCCCTTCTGTGAAAGACATTCAGCAGAAATAAAAAGTAAAGACAATTTGAATAAAGATTAAGTACTGGAAAAATTACCTGGGATAGAAACAACAGTCTGGCTGATGTCAATTTTTTATGCTACCAAGAGAAGTGTGGAGGCCCAGGTTCAGAAGAACAATCTTATTAAAAGCAAACACTTGAATATGCTAACTCTAAGCATGAACTAGAGTAATTCTGAGATCATTAAAAATGAAGCACAAGATGTTTTAAACCATTTCTTGATCAGTGATGGTCTAGGTACAACACTCACATGCTTTCATATGTCCAGCCAGAAGAATCACTGAGTGAATATCAGAATGATGATGAGCAGGACTAAAGATTTATCTAACAGTGAGAGCTCCACGCAGAAAGAACTGTGCTCTGCAATTACCCCTGTGCTTGAACTAGAAAGCACCACATTTTTACTTGGTCAATGTGAAAATCCCATCTCCTCCCATTTCCAGCACCACCACACACTTCACTGACCTTCTTCAAAGCCATCACGGAAAGAGCCAGATCGGCTCATTGTCCTGCTTTTCTCATCCAAGGACATGGAGCTGTTCCTGAAGCGCGTGTCGCTGTAGGGGTCGTAGGGCCCGTCTGCGTTGGACAGGCTGTGGGTCCGTAGCATGGTGGGATTTGACAGGCTCATCTGGGCTGCAGTGGTTGGGCTTGCTGCAAAGTGAAGAATAAACACCAATTTATTTTGCATGACCACAAATTTTCATACCAATTTTTCCTGCAACTATAAAAAAAGCTTTTTTTTTTTTCTTTCTTGAAGACACAGGTTTTTTTGGTCATCCTTTCCAGGCTTCGTTATTATTCTAAGTCAAATAAACTCAAATAGGAGGTATGCAAATCAACCTAGTGAATAAGAAAAGTCAAATAAATAAGGTCATTTTAAACACGCTACAGACAAGCTCAGTCAACTCGCTAGCACCTTGTGGGCACGAACTAATTAACCCTAATTTAATTTGGAGGAGTCTTTCCTCAAAAAGGACTAAAATGCCCTATGGAATTTAAGCTAGTGTTTTGCCTATATAGAACAGGCCTAATGAACTATCTCCTTCAAAGCCTTCAAGTTCTCAGAAAACAGTATTTTCTAAGCATTTAAGTCACTAATCATAAGAGCTTCAGCTTCCTAACAGTTGCATCTTTCAGAATTGTTTCTTTCCACTATGAAGTCCTGAGAATTATCACTTTTGCCTCAAAAGCCAATATTCTCCCAGCCAGCATTTAGAGTACAAAATGTCTACTCCAGTTTCATCTTTTTCAAAGAGCTTTTCTGCTAAAATTATACCTGCTATTTACTAAGAGCTAGTTGATCTGTGGAAGAAAGAGAATAACAAAATTGCTGTGCAACCGGCAGGTTCCTCCTGGTGTGCTGTCATTGCCCGTTCCTACGTGCATCATCACCTGATACAGACTGTTGTAGAAGGTGCAATATTTCAGTTTAAAGGTGCTCAACTTTCCTACCAGTGTTTGCTATTAAATTAAACACATTGACCTCCCTTGACTCCAATGCCTCCAAGCTTTTCTTAAGAACACAAAGAAACATTTTCCTTTTTTGTTGTTTATTGCTTGCGGCCAAATAGCTTTTGAAGTTTACTGTAAGTAATTTTCAATATTCTCCATAAAGAGTTAACTTTCTGGGCTACATCTTTTCTTTTTTTTTTTACCATTAAAGCCCTTTCATGAACTTTCATGACAGTTTGTTAGCTATTGGCAGTGTAATTACACTGTGTATATACTCAGCTGAAATTTTGTTAAGCGGTGGTTTATTTAAAGCTGTTTATTTAATCTGTTTCTTTCCAGCTCACTCAATGAAAAGCTCTAGAATGTCACTCCTGCAACTCAAAACTGAACAAGAAATAAGTGACTGGGCTGCTGCAAATTCACATGATGCAAGAACTCTCTTAACTATTTTGCATATTATTTATTATTCTGGAAAAGATGAGAGGGGCTTCTGAAAGTCAAAAAGAAACAGAAGATGTCTGTCATAGTACTTTCCAAATGCCACTTAACTTAAAGCATTGATTTATATACATTACCAAGTTGCAAAAGCAACTAAGCAATGCTCAATCTTCATACCAGAAATGAGCATTATCACTTTAAATTAATTTATTTTAACTGCTGATATGGCCAACTAAAATCTGCAAAGTCTTATCAATCAACTTAGTTACTGTTTCCTTCATTTAAAAAGTGTTTACTTTCATCAATGTAATTAAGTGAAGGAATGGCATTTTCTCTGACTTAAAAGTCTTTTATATATTATTTCAGACTGAGCTTTGTGTAATTTCCCAACAAACCACTTGGCAAATACAGACACGTAGATGTGGTGCTGAGGGACATCGTTTAGTGGTGGACTTGGCAGTGAACTAGCTTAACAGTTGGACTTGATGATCTTAAAGACCTTTTCTAGCCAAAATGATTCTATAATTCTATACAAAGACAAACCACCTCAGACTGATGAGACTGGCACATTTAGTGAGTAATATGCTTGGGTTTTAAAGCCATATTACTAAACAGGTAGGCAAATGTCCTTGAAACACACCAATGTGTGGTGTTAACAAATAGCTCTGCTGAATAGTGCACAATTTTTATTAAGGCATCCAATTACTCCCAGAGAAGTATTTTCAAAGAGTTACTGCAGTTTTGCCACCTTTGGCCATATAAGATAATAATGCTAATTAGTCACATTCATATCAATGAAAGTGCTTCTCCAGGTTGAACCTGGGACTCGGAGCTGCTGAAAGAAAATTATATTGTGTAATTTTCAAGACACATAAAGTATTGCTACGATTATCCAAACAGATAATTATTCACCAAGCTGCGAGAAGTTAAATCTAGTTCCAGAGGGTGATGTGATGCTGGATCCAGATGAAAATGGAGAAATGGAAGCAGTATCCTGAAGCCCTCCTGCTGAATGGGACCGTAGCCATTCTTTTGCATCTTCTTGATTACGGAGCTGGGAGGATGGAGTATACCTGCAAAACAAGCAGGTTTTATTTAAAATGAACTGCAACGTTTACTTACAAAAAAAAAAAAAAACAACCAAAAAACTCAACCATGAAATGTCACAAGACTTGGGGAAGAAGAGAGGGAAAGAAAGATGGAAAAACTCTCAAATGAAATTTTAGGATTACAATTCTATAAATACAATTCTGAATTAAGGAGCTATTTTAAGCTGTTCTAAGCTGTTCCTAATTCATTTCACTTCTGTTTGGGATAAAAAAAAACCAAACCCAGAACTCCTCTCCCACAGCTTCAGAAGTGAACAAATTAATAGTGAACACAAAGCTACGGATAGAACTTGTGCACTGTAGCCTGTAGAATAAAATACACTGCGTATTACGTATGCAAGATTAAAAAATAAAGCCATAATTTAGAAATCCTTTCATTTCCTCAAGGTATGCCAGAATTCTATCACTATTTTAATATTTTGGTGCATTGCTAAGCCTAGTTGGCTTTTTGGTTATATTACAACCAAATTCAAGTCAACAGAGGCACTAACATGTTTTTAAACCAGTTGTGACCTAATAATTCATATTCCAGAGACATTCATATAAAGGCCTGTGGAGGTGTATCCCATTGAGTTCACAACTAATAGCATGAAATCATCCTAGAGGAGACTATGTTTAGCCTTTCTGAAGGCAAGGAAAATAGCGGAAGCATTGCCTGTGCCAACATCAACAGCGAAACACCCGCTGGCTGCTTAAGCTTAAGTTCTCAAGCTGCTTCTGTACATGCCTAAAAAATAGGAACGTTAGCAGAGGTGTTGTGAGAAATACGTGCTAGGGTGCAGGTATCAACAGAAAGAGCATCATGGAAACACTCGTCTGTTGATGGAATCCAGTGTCTGAAGCCACCTGCTTTTGAGAAATATTTATGAGTTACTAGCTCTCCTTCCAAAAACAAAACACTTGGAGTCTATTCTTAGTTGACATTATCTATTTAATTAATTAGATGCCCTCCAACTACTCTACAGCGAGATATCACTTATTAAGACTAATTTAAATCAGTGTGAACAATACAATCCCTGACACTGTAAAAACTCAAACTACTTTCCAAAAATGCATCCATTCTGCTGCTCATGCCTCAACAATTAAGCAATAGTCTCTGACTATGTGTATCTCTGAAACTTTGCACACATATCAGTTAACTAAGAAAGGGGCTTTTAGCAGTTATTTTACTTTAACTCACTAAGGATTTTAATTTTTTTTCAGCATTAATACCTACCTCTTCAGCACTGAAATGTTTTAATCTTAGAAACGAGTCTTTATTTTGTTAGAGACATACTGGAGAACCACAGAAACATTTTAAACACAAAGCTATTTTTAAAAAAGGCTTCTAGCACTTGGCTTCATGGGACAAAGCTGCTGTGAAGAACAATGTGTATAGCACAGAATAAATAAACTGCAGTTGCAAATTCAAGGCATCAACTCAGTGATCCCAGAAGCTGGACTAAGCAATTTCTGAAGCTGCACTAAGCAATGTTTGAAGCTGCAGTTTTTTAAATTATCTGGGGCATCATCTGTAAGCTCTGTAGCACGTAAAGCATTTAATTAATACATCTAATGTTGATAATCTTTCTGGAATTGCTTGTATCAATGGGAAAATCTTTTTTGGTGCAGTTTTTTAATATTATAAAAGTCATGATCTTACAGATACACAAAACATACGAGAAGACAATTGCCAAAAGTTTACTTGGGGATTATTTTGTTGTTGTTGTTCTTTTCTAGAAGAGTACAAATTATCTTTAAGAGCTCTAAATATTTAGGTATTCTGAAGATTATTTTTTTTTTAAATTAATGTCCATTCTCATCCCAGAAGGTCTGGCATATTGAAAATATTTTCTATTTGTGTATCAACATGAACATTCCCGGGTGAAAATGATCTCAAGTCATTCCATGTAATAGCCATAGAAGCTGCCAAATTATTGTTTTCAAGTCAAGCCCAGTGATGGTTTATGAGATGCTTTTCAGCAATTCAGCCAGCAAAAGCCACAATTCTTGCTCAAGCGGAGAAGCCACTGGATGAAAAAAAGCACAGTGGTCAATGACCTTCTATGAGGATGAAAGACAGAAAGAATGAAAGAAAGAAAGCTGTTGCTACCTCTTGCAAACAGCCATCACCACCAGCCACAACAGAAACACAAAGCAAACTCCAAAGCCACCACAAAAGCTGTTAAACCGTGTGGAGACACCAATACCTGAGTCCCTTCTTAGGCAAAGTGTTCCTATCAAGATGTGGGTCGCTGCAGAAAAGTTAAAAGAAAAGAACTTCAGAGAAGAACAAAAAGGGAAGGAAAAAGATCAGGATGAAGACGTACAAACATCTGCATCACCTTTTCAGAGGAAAAGGTGCTGGGGCCTTCCTAGAGAAACATGCAAAAACCTCTTCACCTAGGTGTGGATTTGCACAAACATGCATCTGGTACCATGCCAATGAACCTCATCTCTTCACAACGTGGTTTTGCTATTTCTCCGACCCACAATGAACAAAAACGGCTCTTTAAATGTCAAAGGGATGCTTAAAAATATGCTTTTCAGCAGGCGTGAGGTAGACTGTGAAAACTGATGAGAATCTTCCAAGTCCAAGCCACCTTCCTGTCATTCCTTTCAGCAGACACCATTCAGGGAATGCAGCTAATTACTGTAATGCAGCTGCAATGTATAGCAGTAAAAGCATTGAGCCCAGACAGTTTCAATTTTCAAGTCTTAACTTAAATTCTATTAGTTAAGTAAAATGAGTCTATCAGCTGTCCAAAACCCAAATAAATATTTAAGTTTATGTTTTCACAAATAATGCAACTTGTAACTCAGCAGAGTCTGTTAATTTGTTTTAAAAGAAAATATCCACGTGTTTAAATTAATTAATTTAATGACAATCCTTATAGCTAAATTACAGTGTGGGAGCAACTAAAATTACAGCAGTGAGCAGAAGTGAGCTAGAGTGTTTGGATCTGGGTTGCTTTTTCCTAACTTTAGCATTCATCTTTACAAGGATGGATGTACCCCAGTGCCTGCAAAAACACTCAGAGCCAAACTGCAATAAAAGACTGACGAGACACTGAACGACACGGGGACTTCACGACAAAAAAGACAGGCCTGAAAGGCAGTGGGGAAAAGCAGCATGCCAGAGGAATGCTGAAATGCTAGTGAGAGTTTAGATCGTTAGGAAAAAAAAAATGGCAAGACTTTCAAATTGCCTTTTGGCAAAAGAAATGAGGAGGGAAAAAAAATACCAAGAGCAACCCCAAAAGCATGCCGACCCTGCCATAGGCCACTGTCCAGATTAAGTTAGGTAGGTAATGGGGTGTTTGAGGGGACTCTCACTGGCATGTCTTTGTGTCAGTTCACACTTGAACAATGAACACAGCAGAGGACTCAACTAAGCACAGTCTGGCACAAAACAATTTGCTTCACCAAGATGGGCAACAAAACCTATAGCCTTGTGCATACTCCTGTCCTGAGACAGGCATTACCTGTCCTGTCTCCTGGGCAAAGTATTGCGGCAGAATTTGGGGCTAGCGGCGGGGGAAGAAAGAGGGCTAGAAGAATCAGTCCAACAAGACAGAAAACAAGAGAAGGAATATTAGAATGGAACAAGGAGAGAACAGAAAGGAGTTATAATAAATTACAAACAGAAACCCAACCTATCAGAACATTATATTCAGTGGTAACTTTCTCCATTGAGATGCAACTACAAACATTTTGCTACCTGGCTGCATAATTACACATCAGGATACAACTGGTTTCCAATGCTTGCAGAGGTACTACTGCCTTCTACAAAAGGTCACTGGGGGAACATGCACTGCAAAGCATTGTATGATTTATCCCAATGTTGGCTCGACGTGCCATTAATACAGCTCTGATGCTGGAAAAGCAGTCCCATTCCTCCTCCCTGCTCTGCCTGTTCCCAGTTCCTACTCTGTGTCCACACAGGTACTGATGAATCTCATCATGTAAGGAGCTGGGGAACTGATCCATCTGAAATACAATTCAGGTGATCTTTTTCTGTTGGATCCATCTCACAGTCAGGTTCACAAAGCATTCATATCAATGCCGAAACACGTGAGCAGCTGGAGATGGGACAGGGCAGCAGGGAAAGGCCAAGGAGGGATCAAGTGCCTAGGGAGACAGGGACTTCTCTTTTCAGCATGACCTCCAGGTTAAAAGCTTGGCAAACATTACAGACAAGAAGTGAAACAAGAAACAGCTGGTTTATCCAATGAAAATGATAGCAAAGCTGGAGGTTTTTCTGAATATCACTATCAGATCAACTTTGGAAAGATAATGTATGGTGCAAAATTCAAATATTGGGTGGAATATGGAAGCAAGGGAAGCTGCCACATTGACTACCACAGCAAATTAAAAACCTCCCCTGAACTCGTCCTCTTGCTCTAAACTGGGGTCCTTGCCTGGAATGGCTTCTTTGTACATTCTGATAATAACCATTCACCATTATCTCGTAAGAAGCACAGCTTGACTTACATCAGCAGTGTTTGCTGCTGCTGCCAGGACTTCATTCACATTGGAGTACATACAAGCTTCATGGAAATGAGAGAAAAACCCACTCACCTTTCAGACAATGTTGTCTTAACACTGTTGGTTCGGACAAAGGGACTCAGAGAATCATCTTTAGAGCCGGGAGTCAAGCCACTGGAGGAGTTATGGCTCAGCCCTCCTCCACTGCTCAGGGAGATATCAATGGATTCACAGCTGGTATGGAGACTGCTGACAGACTGATATCCAATGCCATCCTTGCTAACAGCAGACGAGCTACTCGCGTTGGTTCCCCATGTCAAACTGTTGGAAGGAGCTGAATGTGCAGAACTGGGACTAGAAGCTAGTGGAGATTGGTTCATATCTGTGTTTTTACTATACAAAGGACTGCTGCCCCCACTGCTCAGCATCCCACTGCCAGATGGTGAATCAAGGTTACCCTGCTGGTTCATAGTAGCATGAGGATTGGAGATGACTACGGAATTTTTCATATTTTCAGCTGTTGTGATGGGAACTTGTTTACTAGGTTTGCCACCAAAAAGTCTGCAAAAAAAGACAACATGAAAAATAGGTAAAATGGAATATTAAATATGAGGATCTTTTATATCTAGACCACATATATCATCTTAGCTTCTGAAAATCAACATTAAGTAAATTATTCTGGACCAGACACACACAACTATCAATTTACGTATCTCTCCATGCTCACTCCATCTTCACTTGAGTCCAGAGATAATTATGATCGTTTCAAACCTATCGTAGGTGATTCTTCTCTGAATCATCAAATAATACTTTCACAAAGCTAAAATACAGCCATATTGTCTTCCGGAACACATCTCAATGGGATGGTTGCTGTTGGATACCTGCCACAAAGCACCTGGGCAGCACTGCTGGATCAGGCTTAGATGCCAACCTAGACCTGTCTCATAATCCAGCACTGCTCTGTGCCATGATCCTCCAGCACCTGCTGTAGACAGACGTTCACAAACTAGCATAGTGCTGGTAAACTTGGTTCACCTGGACACCACACCTTGCTGATTAGGAGACACTGACTTAGACAAGTCAGTCTGCATGATCAAATCCATTCTTACAGGGATTTAGAGACATTTAGAGTCTAGGTTTTATTTAAAGTTAATGTTATCAGAGCAAGTATGAAGATAAATGCCAAACCATACCACAATGACCTTCAGCAGCAATACCTGCATGGTATTCCTGGCTCCTACAACATTGCAGACCATCACTTCAGTTGTACTGGGGGGACTGTACTCTCAAGAGGTAGGAACCTAGAGCTTAAAAAAACTCCAACCACCTACAAAACAGTCTTACAAGCTGTTTTTAAACTATGCAGTCCTCCCAAAACTGTTTCACAGCACCTCTAACACAACTGCAAGGATGCTGCACTGTGGCCCAAACAGAAAAAAGCTGCTATTAAAGGCAGTGTCCAGTCAAAACCACAACCTCACAACAAACACGTTCAGAAGAGGATGTGGCCTGGAGAGCAGCCCAGAGACAATCCAACCCAGCAAGACAGTCACATCAGTACAGAGATTAATTCTGAAGAACGTAATCTCTACAAGGAAGGACATCCCCTGCCAAGGAAGGATATCTCACTCCAATCCACTGTTACTGACAGAAGACTGATATATCCGAGCTGGCTCTTGGGTCATGCACGCCTCCCACTAACAGAAGAGCCATGCAGAGCATTAAGACCCCATGTAATAATAATAAGATAGATCAACATAAATTATGGTTTCACTTAAGAGTCATGCTGGATAAGTAAATGGAAGCCAAAGGGACTACTGAGAGAACAAAGACAGTCATGGGCCCCACTGCAGAATTATAGAATGTCACTGTTTATGACACCATAGAAGTTACGTATGTTCACAGACTTGCTGATAAATCTGTATCATTACAAAGGTATGAATTTTAATTTATGGCATAATATTGTAAAAAGACAAAAGGCTGAAAGGCAAAATCCAAAAAACCAATGTGTGCAACTCATCTCAACTATGAAAATTAAGTTAAAAATCTTGTAATCTCAAATACCAGTAATAACCAGACGAGGCCAAATTCAACTCTGATGCATTACAATATGTGCCTATTTAGACAGTCTGGTGAAAAGTCAAGAGTGAAATTGCAAATCAAAATGAGGGAATAGTTAAAATTGAACCTGAATGTCTTCTTCAAGTTTCATGCACTGGTAACGCAGTAATTTCAATTACATGGCTAGCAAGGTGGTTTTCTAGTAATCAAAAAGTTTCCAATCAAATCTCAAGATTGATCTACCTGAGGCTTGCAACACTGTAAATCTGCATTTCTCATGGGGTTTGCTACGGAAACGAAAGGTCCATTGGAGGTTTTCTTTTTAAGCAATCATTGATGAAAATTACACATTCTAAAGGACATCTAATGATAACCGGGATCAAAATAAATGAAATGTCTCGAATTATCCTTGCAGATGCTCTTCAAATAAAAGCACTCATCTTAAAAGGAACAGTTTACAACTCTTTACAGCGGTAGCCTAAGCTGTCATCACAGCCATTATGCTTGCACTGGTGCTTCAGATGGAATGTGGCTTTCTCACATGACTGGAAGCAGGATGATGTAGCATAACTGTATGGGTATTATGGGCATCAAGACAAAATGAAATGCAAAACACCACATTGAAACAGACAAGCTACTCATGTCAAATTAAACTGAAAAAAGAGTATCAGCAGAACCTCTCACCAATCTCAAGGCTTCGATGCACACTGCATCAACAAATTAATCCCTGACCAGCTCAATATTAATGTTAAAATCACGTGTAGGGCAGTGGTGAAGAAATAAAAGGTAAGATTTTTGTTTAAATACGTATTCAAATCAGAAAATTCAACCCAGCTTGGTAACTTTACTTAGTGTTCTTTTACACAGTCGAATAACCAGATGTTGAGTCTTGCAACACACTGGCCTAATCACACCACTGAAAGACTGGTTTGGGTTGGGCATGTGAGTCGACATATGTCATGTCAAATGATGCATCTGTCATAATGAAAGCCTGAAATAACTCTCCTGTTGTCAATGTATAGTTTGATCCACCACTGGAGTATTTCCAGCTTTGTTACATATAAATTGGTGCAAGAACTCTTCAGTAAACTTCAGATAAGAAAACTCCTTATTCCTGCAATATCTGCATGGCTAAAGCCTTCAGGTATGACTTTTGCTACAAAGAGACTCGTATGACAATTGCCAGAATTGACTTTCTGCCAGAAAGTTGTTTTTTCCAGATGTTCAATTTTTGCTGCTGTCATTGGCCAACCTGTTTGTGCGAAATCAAATGTCAATACAAAGACCTTGATGTAGGACACTAAAGAGTAAGTGCTCCACGAAACACAGCCAGGCCTGGCTGGAAGAGTCCTGATCATTCAGCTCCGACTAACATCATTGCACGATCAACGGATTTGTTGCCTACCTGCGCAAAGTGGGAGAGGCCACATCGGGGTACTTGGCTCCTTGCTGGTGAGTGCTCTGAGCTCCACTAGAAGCAGTCTGTGATGCAGGGTTCACTTTAACAGAATTACATGAGGCCACGCTTTCGTTGTCAGACGAAATCCCTTTCTCTTTATCAGTCTGATTGACTAATCCTGGCAGAGAGTTTCCAAGGATTACCTTGGTAGGCTCTCTCATTTTAGGGACAGGCAGCCCGGCTGACTTGCTGCTTATGTTGGAGTCTATGCTACTGGTGCTAGATCTATTCCCAGCTCCACTTCTGCTACTGGATTTACTGGGCCGGGGTAAACTACGATACTGGAGATTAGTTCGGGTGCTAAGTGCTAAGTAGCCATCATCCTGGTTCTGTGAGCCATCAACACTAGTCTTCCGACCAGTGGTCCTACCCATGAGTCCAGATGACTTTGGGATTTTTCCCAGGGTGGCCGATCTACTGGTGATAGTTGCCCCGCTGGCAGTGATTATAGTCATGCCTACAGCTGACCCGCTCTGTTTCTTAAATCCAAATGTATTAGCATTAGCAGCAGTTGTTCTAGAGTTACTTGTGGGAAGCTTTTTGGATTCATCACCACTGCTGCGTCCTGCATCTGATGGGGAACGTTTAACATGTCCAGCTTTAGGAGATAGTCTACCCTTTTCTTATACCTTGGCGTCATCAGTTTTCCCT